TATATATACCTATATATATATATAAACGCATAAATATATATATAAAACTTTCCTGTTTCTCTTCCTGATCTTAATGAGCAAAGATTACTGGATGCCTAAACACAGCCTTCTTGAGCTCTTTGACTGAGGAGGGCTGTGCTCCACCCGTCTTCCTTTTTTCTCTCCTCATAATCAAGGTTTTTCTTTCCATATCACAGCGAACTCTCCTTTGCCTTTCTAGCACCTGCACAATCTCGTAGTAAGCCGCAATGCACTTATTCAATCCTACCTTAAATGTCCTGTCTTTTATCTCCCAAGCTCACTATCTGGATAAGGTAGTGAAAGGTATGCTCTTCCTTCCTATTTTTCCTATTGTCTTTGTGTTTCTTTTAAAAAAATGCACCATGAACATGCTGTGTTGAGGTTGCATCTCTTCCTCATTGTCACCAAAGTGCTCCCTAATGTCTGGAACGGTGAACTTTCCAGTCATTTAGGTAGGAAATACCTCCCTAAGTGCTGTAACCCTGTGTTAACATCGTATCAGTGTTCCTACCCGTCCCCTTGTCCCTGCCCTCCCCTCCAAATCACCTCTCATCGTCACCCGTCCTACCCAGGTAAGGCAAGTCAGGAGGAAGCAAAAGTGTCTGTAAATACAGCAGGAGCCCTGTACAGTGATGTGTTTTAATTAAATGTCTGTGATCCGTTTTGTAACAAGCAGGTGAGTGCACTTTCTGTGTGGAGTCTTCATGGTTTTGATCCGTGACTGCAAAGTCTTACATGGGAACTTTGAGTAATGATATATTATTATTTTTTTTAATTAATACAAAAGCGTTATGACCTCAAAACCTCTGGTCTTATAAAAACACAAAGTCTATTGAAATTAGTGATGTTGCATTAATGTAAACTACAATGAAGTCCAACCCTATGTTCCTATTTGCAAATGTAAAGCAAGTCTAGGACCCAGGTCTTTCTTCAATGAAGACGACAAGGAATTGAACTGTTACAGAATAGAGGTAATCTGCTATCCTAAAACAAAATCTCAGTTGTTTATTAATCAGAGCAATGAACTAAATTAATTTGGGACTTTTAAATAGAAATAGACAGTTCCACAATGCACTTAGCTTTCCAAAAATATTGAAATAGCACACATCTAGTTAAATACAACAATCTGACAATAAATGTGATTGAGTTGGACACAAGTATCTTTCTACATGGCTGATTTGACATTAACAGCAACACAGTGCTGACACCACACAGCATCATATGTTTACTGGTTAAACAAACCAAAAAATCAGGTTGAACAAATCAGTTTCTTCCATAGCATTACCCTCCTTTTCAGGTTGTGAACAATTAGAAATAGCAGTTGTGAGAGGCTGATGAAGAAGGACAGATATGCCAAAATATTTGGTGAATAGTTAAAATGAAGTCTCTGCCATATAGGGCTCTTGTGGTATGACAAGAAACATGGTTGCCCTACTGACTTCACTTTTCTGGATGAATTTAAAATCTAATGTTTCTCTCTTGTTTCCCTTCAGGCTTAAAGGCAGGTTCAGGTACAATCACAAGTAGGGAAAAACTTTAAACAGACAAACTAATATTAATGATGAGGAAACGTCCACAGTTTAAATAATGAGACTTTCATCTTCAGTGTAATGCAGCAACTGGTAGCTGTCCTTGGACCCCTGTTTATAAATCAGTGGATTGTTCGGTAGTAGTTAGTTTTCTCTCATTGCTTAGCGTCAGTAAAATATGCTTGACTTTATTTAAATTAGGAGAAAAAAGTATATTCTCCTTCTTAGATCAAGGAAAGAGGGTCACTTCTTGTGCCCTTATGAAGTAATAGTGACGGCATCCTTAGAGGAAGATATGGACCATCACTGGGGAGTGCGATCAGAACGTCCTGTTAATGTTTCACATCTCAGGGTTTTGCATTTCAAAATCCCAGGACTCCTCCTTTTCATCTCAACATATATTGGAGAAAGTTGGGTGAAAAGGTAGAAGATAAGCACCAAGGGGATAGAAAAGATGAGAAATTAACCTGCAGAGCCTGAGCCCAAGGACCTTCAGTACTGGTTTACCCATTCAGTGGTCTAGTTTTTCTTACTAAGTCTTCTGTAGCTGTCATTTTTCCTCTGGGTAGCCTTTTGACTCACCTTTATGCCCAAGAATAAAGACTAATTATATTTAGAGAGTACTTCAGGGGGTAACAGGTTAAGCAACATACTAAGAATAAAAGATTGTTTCTTACCATGCGTGGCCTCTTTTGGAAAGACTAGCAATAGCTAAAACATTAAAAGTACATGTTTTTTTTCTTGGCTAACTGCATGGTGTGCGTTTTTCAAAACTAAATTACTCATACCCTTTTGGCTTTCTTAATTATTAACATCTTTCTGGTTGAGATCCCTTCCCAGTAATCCCCTGTTGTCAAGGGTGAGCCTGATTTACTGCTGAATCTTTCCTACAGCTTTACAATAAACCAGTAAGTCAGAGAAGATGCAAATTGTTTCTAAATTGAAGGGCAAGTTTCAAGAGCAAACATCAGCATGATTAAACCAAGAAGCTCTAACTGCAGTTGGAGTCTTCTAAACTAAGGCCTAATTAACACTGCTAATGCTTAAAATGAAAAGAGGTGCCTACTATTAAGAGGTGCTGATTTTAGAGAGAGCTTCCCCATCCAGAATACCATTGGAGCTGATGGTACATCAATGTAATTAATTTCTATTGTTGGTTATCTATTCTCTCCCTTAAAAAATAACCACATTAACACTGTAGTGAGGCTTATAAACTGCTAGTCTGAAATATAAAGATGCTGAACAACTTTTGAATTCAGGGATGACTGCAAGGTGACTTCTTTGGGCTGCTACTGAAGTCTGAGAAGCAGTGAGAGCCCAAGGTCTAACCACAGCCATTTCCCTCATTTGTACAGTTATAAGCAATAGGAGCTCTGGCAGGTAAGTTTTAAATCTTTGTTTTAGAGGAGGCATCTGATTAAGGGTTTCTGGATTCCCACCATCTCAAAATATCATGTTGGTACTTTAAGAGTTGAGTATTTTTCAGGATACTTTACTGGGTTTCTCATAATTTACAGGGATCAGCTGATGCCTTGCTCCTCCCCTGCAGTCCTACAGAACTTCTGCAGGTCACTTACTGATTGTCGTTCTCTCAAGCTCCAGGTGTTTGCATCCTCTCACGTGTTGCATTCAGCCATGTCCTACTCGTTTCAGAGCTCAACCTCTGTCTATTGGGACTTACTAGAACATCTATCAGTGCTTTCCTACTGACAATGGAGGAAAGATAATAGCCTTATCTTTTAAGTCCAATTTCAAGTGGCAATGAGGCTTGGCTTGAAGAAAAATCCCATTGAACATTGTTTATAATTAGACTAATTAGAGAAGACCTTAACTGTACAGATCATTAAGAGCAGATTATTTTGCCAACAATCTTAAAATGGCAGGATAATTTCTTACTCTGGTGACAAGTCTCCTTTGACTCTAACTCTTTTCTTGTCAGTTCAAAATTAGTCCACTTTTTATATTGCTTCCATGGTCTGTACTCTCTCTTGCATGTCAGACCTGACATCTCTGTGAATGTCCCACATTATCATAATCTTTCGGCAGCTCTTTCATGTGCTTCAGTTGGAAACTCACATAAAGGGTTCCCCCCACCCCGACTCAAAAAGCTGTATTCATATACTTAATTTTCTTAGTCACCCAAATACAGTTAACAAACACAAACAGGAATAATGGATCATTAGCAACTCTAGCTATGAGAAATCAGAGCTGCAAGATTATGGTGGTGTAAATCTGTGAGGATTAAGCCATCCTGCTGTGTTGGTATTCAGAAGCACTTTGTAGACAAGATGATCTTTTTCCTTTATTCCCCAGCATGGGGGAAAGGAGAGGATAAAGTTTATTTGTATCATCTTTTCATCAAGTGCTTTGAAGTGCACTGTTTGTGGAAAGGCGAATACTGTACGTTCCTATCTCAATGGTGTTAGCGATGGTCAAGTCTTTATGCAGTGAAGCAGTTTAGAAATGGTAGTACGTATAGGTCCATTTTCCTAGATATATTGGTCCATGTTATCTTGTAGCTTTCTGAAGTTACGAGTCCTCTGATAGCTGCTGTTTAATTGTGTTGTTTTTCTTATCACTTCTGAAAACTGTCTGCTTTCCTACCAAACCCGTGACACAGGAGAGGTACAATTTAATCTTCACAGCACTGATACTTTGCTGTACCTTGTAATGTTAATATCTGTAAACTTTTATGCTCATGAATCTGTGAAGAAGAGTTTATCTCATTAGGAAACAGTTCTTTCTGACTCCTTGGAAGAGATTTATCTCACTAGGAACAAGAGATGACTCTCCTTGCTGGGAAGGGGTAAACTTACTTTCTAGACTTGAAAGATGCCAAGACAGTGGAGTATGAAATTACAGGTGGCAGTTATCCTACTTCAGGTATTTACAGCATAGATGCTTATATCTCATCTAGTCACCCTGGATTCCCTTAATAGTCAAGAAGAGGAACAGATACTTTGGGAAGGCATAATCTCATGAGATACTCTCTCTCTTCTGTCTCTCCTCTCCTCACTGATGCTTTTCCTCTGTCTGTCTGCTTTCTGAGATGCTTGGATTAGTTTCTCTGGGTCCAAATCAAGAAGATTCATAGGATCTCCTGAAAGTCCCTTCAAGTACTCTCAAATACATTTCATATATGCAATGAATTCCACACAAAATTCAAAGACATAGGACTGAAAGGGGTCTCCTCAGTTAGAGTCCAACCTTCTGCTGTCAAGGGCAACCACATTGTGTAAAAATTTATACAAATTTACCAAGCTCTGTAGATAGATATGTGAGGTTTCTTCTCCTTAATACTCCTACTGGGAGGCTACTCCAAAAGTTTATTCCTTTGATCCTGGCAAATGATTTTTTTTTTCTTTCTAATTTCCAGCCAGAATTTATGTATGCTTGGTTTATGTCCATTTGTTCTTATGCCAGCATTATTCTCTTTAGCTTAAATATAGCTGTTTTCCCTTCTGTTTATCTGTTTCATGAATTTATAGAAAACAATCATAGTCTTTTCAGCCTTTGCTGTGCTAGAGTAGACAAATCAAATTATATCAGCCATTTTCTACCACTCCAAGTTCCCCCTTTCCTAAGCCTGGGAGAGTACAGCACAAGCAGTTCCATATCAGCTCCTAGTTTTTTACAGATATATTGGTTTTTCCTTATTCTTGCTGGACACTCCTCGCATGAGACATTTGAAGATAGATCATTTGCTTTTGTCAGTCTCAGAGCAAGTGATCAATCACTACAGTGTCTTTTCTGTCTAATAATGTTACATCTTTGCTTTTGAGATCTTTATTCCAAAGATTATGAAATGCAAAATATAATTGAAACAAAAACAATAAAATGGAATCCCTCTGAATTTTCATCATGTGAAACCTCATAGGCCTAACTTAAACCATTTCCAGGATTCGGATCTGTTCCTATATGGCTTGGAACCAAAGGAGAGACTTTTTGTCTTTAACTCCCAGCAAAAACTTCTAAAACCTATCTTCTTCCTGTTGCAGATAATAAGTCTGCTCCAGGAATTAAACACCACTTGTTGGGTTAAAAATCTAGTGGTATCCAACCCTTCTTCTCTCATCCTTCTACAGTGGTGTCTTCAACTTGTCCACACCCAACTCTTTTTGGTTCTCACTGCACTCCTGTCCAGGTCAACACCACAGCACCTTTGCAAGGAGTTTCCTGCTCAGCCTCTGCAACTGCAGGATAGAAAAGAACTTTTTAGGATGGGTTATAAAGAGGCCAAGCAGTAAAAACATGAGATGTGCTCAATGATGACGCACCAGCTAAGCTCTAATGGAACCATGCAGAATACACATAAAGGGAGATTTCTTCAGAGGTTTTTCATCTAGACAAACTTGGGCAGATTTATAAAGAGAGGGAAAAAGTCCTAGCTCTACCATCAGGATGGTCCCATCCAAACTAAATTTATCTACTCCAAAGTGAGACTACCTACCTAGCTAAGTAATTTTAGCAGGTTAATAACTTCTTGCTCTCTCATTCTCCAAAAGAGCCGAATGCTTTCAGCTTGTACTGAAAGTAAGCAAAGGGAATAAACACATAAATTAGCTGTAGCATGGAAAAAAATCAGATTAAATAGTTATAAGTTTCGCACTGTTGTAAGTAACTGAAGGCAGGATATTAAAATGGAGAATTTCAAGTAACCTTGCCTATAAACAGCTCTTTTGTCATATAGAAATACTAATATAGTGTATAAATACCAAAATACACACACACACAAACATGCTTACACATACCCACACATTATATACCCCTCCCCCAGAATACACATTTTAAAAGACTGAAATACAACAAATGTGTTTGTAAATGAAAAATTTATTTAAGATCCTTTTAAAGGACTTTTTCTTACCACTTTTGTTCCTTTTTCCATTTGGTCCTTGTAAATCTGTCACTTGTTAGAAAAACAATCCCAGAAAAGATGTTAAGTTGACCACGAAACGATTTGTTAGTTAAAAAGACATTTGTGATTGACCTGTCTCCAGTGCAGGACACATGATGACGTGGTGTGCTCTACACCCTGTCTCAGCACTTGACAGGACAAGGGGTAATGGTTTCAAACTAAAAGAGGGTAGATTTAGACTTGACATAAGGAAAAAATTTTTTACAATGAGGGTGGTGAAGCACTGGAACAGGTTGCCCAGAGAGGTGGTAGAAGCCCCATCCCTGGAGGCATTCAAGGTCAGGCTGGATGGGGCTCTGAGCAACCTGATCTAGTTGGAGATGTCCCTGCTCACTGCAGGGGGGTTGGACTAGATGACCTCTAAAGGTCCCTTCCAGCCCAAATGATTCTATGATTCTATGATTCTTTGGGCAGACCCTCGTGCATTATACAGTCAATCAACACAATACAAGTATACGACGACGCACACCTCTTCACCCTCATGTTGTAACCCTTTCAGACAGGATAACTTGCACAGTTTCACAAACAAGCCTGTCTTGCAAAGCTGAGGGCCTGAAGAAACTCAAACTGTGTCAGCATTGCAGAACACTCATATAAATAGGGAGGGCCTTAAAACAGGGCTGAAGAAGACTGAATCGTGTTCCTGGTGTAATCAGTCCTGCTGAGTGACCTTGACAGTCACTTCAGTCCCTTGTACTTCAGTTTCCTAAGCTGTAAAATGTGTCTTACATTTCTGACAGCTTCTTGGTAAAGATTTTTGAGCTCTGCGGGTAAAAAGTCCCCAGAATTGTATAAGCTAAGCAGCCTCCCTCGCGTCGCTTCTTACTGTGGAAAATACTCTGCTATTTTCTTTGGGGGAAAAAAAAAAGGTTGGAAATCTCAGCGGGAGGACATCAGATGAGAAAATCAAACCCTAGTGAGCAGACTGGGAGCTTGCTGTTCATCCCCTCTAAGTTTTATCGCCTATAAAAGAAACGCCTGCCTGTGTGCTGGGCTCTCTGTAGTCACCGGGGAGAAAGGGGTGTTTCCAGAGCGTGCTTCAGCTCATCAGCATGGGCATCGAACACGTACGAGGAGACTTATGCCATGGGACAGTCTGATTCTCTGCTGACTACAGAGAGAGTTGAAGGTATCTCTGTTATAGATTAATTATTATAACCGGATGAGATTAATCCCACTCAAAATGACTAGAGTAGAGAAACTGGGTGTTTTCCAAATATTTTCTGCCTTCCCTTTCCAGCTAGCTTTGACTGCTCGCCAGTCTGACATCTCCGTATTGCTGAAAGCCCGCTGCTTTATCCCACTGGGTGTTGGGAACTTTAACCCCACTTGCAATTTAGGTAACCCCAGATATTGGTCTTGCATAGCAAATGCTTTGAGAGACTCAGAGGGCAAGGAGGATTTTATAACCAATGAAGCAGGAAAATTTCATTGCCTCCGCAAAGCTCACCGTTCCCTCGATCTGGTGAGTGAGGCTGTGCTGTGAGGACCTCCTGGGAGAGCCAGAAGCAGCAGCCCATTGAGTGACCACCACTGTCCTGGTACCAAACTGGGACAGTCCACTCCAAACGGGAAGACACCAAGTGGGAGTGGAGAAAGAAACTGAAGGCAAAGGGAAAAAACTGATTAATTAGCCCCTTTCCAGGCTGCGTTGCTTTGTCTTTCCAGTGTATTTGAATGTGTGGCTGTTTGCCTTGCAGAGGGTTGCCCTGGCTTGTGTAACGGCAACGGCAGATGCACTCTGGACATGAACGGCTGGCACTGTGTCTGCCAGCTGGGCTGGAGAGGAGCGGGCTGCGATACTTCCATGGAGACGGCATGCGGCGATGGGAAAGACAACGACGGAGGTAGGACACGAGCACATGTGATATGTCAGGCTTCGCAGAGCCTATAAACCTTGCACAGTGAACAGTCAGCTGGGCTTGCTTCTGCAGGGCAGATTTGTTTTTTGACAGCTGGTGGAGAACAGACAGCGAAGTCTGCCAAGCTGACTCAGCCGGAGTTGATTTGAATTCAAATGAAATGGATTTGGACTTGGGGTGCCAGGGCTGAAGAGGGATGTTTGTTTATCCTCAAATGAAGTCCTTATACCAGAGAGCAGGCAGAGGCTATGCACTCATCCTATCACTCCACCCCAGCTGAGTGGCTCAGCAGTGACATGATGGGACCACCTCAGACAGCGAACGTCCCTGACTCTTCAAACTTTGGCCTCACTGCCTGAGGTTTTCATCAAGGCTCTCTGGTAGGTCACTGCTGACTTGGGATGGATGTTTTGCAGAAACTTAGAGACTTCAGTGACTGATCCCCGTGCCCACAAGCCATCCAATCCCTCTCAAACCATGTTTTATTGATTACAGTTCCATATGTAATGATGTCAGGCATGTGAATAATAGCTCTGCGTAATGCAAACTTAATATTCAGAGTTATCTCATTACAAAGGAAACCCTGGTGCAGTGTGAAGGTTTGAATTAGACGGCAGGAGATGAGATATTAAATTTAAGGCATAAGGGAGACTGCATAATTTGTTTTGTTGTCACTCAGCAAAAGGCTTTGTAAACCGCAAGTCTGGGCCAGGACCCAGACTGTGAAGTGGAGACTGCATTTTGCAAGCCTCTGTTTTATCATATTCACAAGAACAGTACAGTTTAAAAAAAAAAAAAAAAAACTAAGCCAAGACTGTGATTATCTGCTTCACAGCAACTGGGATTCTGATTGAATATTTAAAATACTTCTGCACATCTGGCATGGCAAATGGACCAAATTATCCCTTTAGAAAAGATGGAAAAAACTGGAGAACCATACAAAGAGTACACACTGTAAAACAAATGTCGCTTTTTGCCTCACATGAAACTGAATATCACTGTACTCGTCTTTCCTATTTACAGCTGACACAAGGCAGCAATAAAGTTCATCTCATCAGATGTGTAAAAATATGTTAAAGAGAGCAAAGGATAATCCTAGTTTCCATGGAAAAAAATAACCAACAAAACCCCTGTGAAGTTTTTAGAAAGAGAGAGAGGGAAGAAGGAATAATCCAGCCTAACACACAATGTAGTCCACATCTGTATAACGTCAAAAAGAGCATGACCAGACTCTGAGCAGGTTGGTGGAACACCATCTCCTGGTATCTCCTGGTTCAAGGTGCTAACCTTGTAACTGGGTTACTCTCACCTTGAAACGAGCCGTTTGTTGCCTTGCTAGCCTGCAGGACAGCAGATGTAGACAGAAGAGACAAAAGGCATCAACATCTTTACAAGTTAGTGCACATCAGCTGCTAACTTGCATTTGGTGAACTTGTGTGAAGCAGTGGTGTACACAGCTAGAGCAGAGCAACTGATAGGTTGTAACATATTGCCTTGTGACAGTTTATTCCTGTGTCAAAGCCCACAAATGAGTGTTGACTTTACTCTTGGTACACTAAAAAAAATAAATGTACATGGTGTGCATTCCATTTTACAAACAATCCATCATACACTATGCTGTTCCTTTGACTTTGGTACATTGCTGCTAAGGACTGTCCTCAGCTGGGAAGTGGAACAGTGGAATACATGTACCTTCTTGACTTGATCTTTTTACATTTTTATGGATCATTTGTATTTGTGGGCTCAAATCCAGAATTTCAACCCCTGAGATGTAGTGGCATCAGCAGTGGTGAGGCCCTTCTGCTTTGAAGCCTGAATTCCTTGTTTAGCACAGGGATTTGAATATAGTTATATGGATTCATGAAGAAAGGCTGATTCTGGACCTGTTTCCTAGTTTTTATGCTGATTTCTATAGCAAGACAGCTGGAGACATTTGTGGAAGATCCACAGAATAATTTAGGTTGGAAGGGACCTCCAGCAGTTATCTAGTCCACCCCGCTGCTCAGAGCAGTTCTAATTACATCAGGTTGCTCAAGGCTGTGTCCAGTCAGCTCTTGAACACTTCCAAGGACAGGGATTCCACTTCTCTGGGCAACTTGCTCCCATATGTAACCATCCTTATAGTAAACATTTTTCTCCTAATATCTAATCATAATTTTCTGTGTTCCAACTTAATGTCTGTTACCTTTTGTCCAGCACCATCTGAGACATCCTAGAGTACCCCAGCTGGCTTCTGGATTCCCCTTCACAATAACTTGGATCTCTGGAAACATATATGTTTCATGGGTGACATCTGCCTTTGGATTTCTCATATATCCAAAGGCAACCCAAATGACACTAAGCACCTGTACTTAGATGCAGAATTGAGCCCATATTCGATGCAGCCACTTTGTCACCACAAACATTATACCTTGGGAAATTGCTGTGCTTCGAAGAGCACTGAAGAGATGTAGACCTCTTGAAGGAGCGTGTAGTATGTGTATAAGCACTATGGGTTCTTCCTCTTTTGAGATCCTATCGCAGTCTCTGGAATGATGCATGCTCAGAGCTGGAGAAAGGCGGTTCATTTTGTTCACTGTAAACGATTTCAGGGCTGTTGCTGAATTTGTCTTCATATGCATATGAATGTAGGCAATGGAGATGGCAGTCCTTTCATGAAGCTTTAGAAGTCAAACATCTGAGCTAGTCACCATGGGTACCAGCAGCAGATAGAAACAGATTTAGGGCATCACCTCCCTGGGCTGTTTCAGGTATCACCTCATAGGTGCCTACTTTTGCTTGGTGTCCACTGCCCTTCGAGCCACTTTCTGCTCAGAGCAGCATCTCTTGAAGCTGGGACACCCTGGTGGGGCCGTTCACAGTGGGGCCGTTCACACTGAGGGTTCCCTCTGCCTGAGCTCATCGGAACTTGGTTCCCACGCTGTGGTATCGAGCATCTGGTAATCAAGATCCCTGCAGCCGGAAATTCCTCAGGGTAATGGGAGCTGAAGCTAGAATCTTTTTCATCAGATCCCAGCCTAATCATACCCTGAGGGAGACGGGTACCAAATTACAGGGTGTCTTTGCCTCTTAAATCCGGAGGCTGTTCAGATAAACAATAACCAGCTAAGCAGGAGTCACTCAGAGAGAGACTCAGTGAAATGTGATCTCCATTCAGGTTAGAAAAAATGTGTCTCGGAGAGCAGTCCCCTCTCCACACACAAGTGTAATTTGTGAAAGCTAGCACTTACGTTTCACACCCAGGTCCACTTCATTTACGCTTTTAGACACAAAGCCCATCAACTTGAAAGGAGTTGTAGTAAGTAACTGAGAACAGGCGATCATCCAGTATCAGTCAAGGAAAAACAGTGCAGTGACAGAGCTTTAACAATCTGGGTAAAAGGCTAGGATTTTGCACATTTGACCTAAAAGGCCACCTGTATTACAACAAATGGGAGGTGTTTCCTTAAAACAAGTTGAGAAAAGTGGTTCTTGCCTCTCTTTGGCAGAAAATAACCTCTCTAATTCATGGCTGCGAACACTCACTACCTAAGAGTAGTCCTGTCTCACCGAGTGCTCTGTCATGTGCTTGAAATAAGAAGTTTGAAGGTTTAAAAGACCAAGGAAATTATCTTCTGTGACAAGTCCTGGAAGTGGAGTTAATGGCATTTGACAAAGCCGTGAGAAGAGGCTGATATTCCATAGGCTAAATAGGGGCTCTGTTGCATTTATAGACTCCTTTGTTATGAACAGAGTGTACAGGAAAAATGGAGGGGAAGACGAGAGGATATTCTTAACAGTCTCACGGATATGCTATTGGGCAGAAAAGCTGTGTTAACAATCTTTGCGCCGGAGAAATCATCTCCTTGTATGACTGCCTCCATACTGAGAGCCAGAGACTTGGCCAGTTCCCCATGTCACTGTCTGGATACACTGCACTGTCCTGAAACCATGAGAGAATTACAGATATTAAACTAAATTGCTCTTTTGAGCTAAAAATTCTGTCTGATCAACACACTAACTTCGCTTGAGGGCCTTTGTTATTGTTTTGGGCATTTCCAGAGTAGCCAAGCCTTCCAGATAGGATAAAGCTTTCTGGTTCTCTGGGAAGTGGAGCTGACCGCATCCTTCATTTCCCGCTTTGAACAATTCCAGTTGCTAAACAGCTACTGAACTCTGCCCAAAGTGAATTTACTTGTGAAAGGCAAGAGTCTTTCTCAGATGAAAAATATGTCTGGAATATAAATGTTCCTCATATTATCTAACCCTTCCTATTCATTAGAGGTTGATGTTCAGTTGTCTGCTGTTCTCTGCTGCCTCTTCTCAATTTAAACATTTCCAAAGGCTTGTGTTAGTGATTACTGCAGGATAATTTAAATAGATAGATAGACAGATGGATGGATAGACAGATAGATAATCTTCCCAGTCAAATAACGCTGGCCTATACAAACGCATATTGCACACCATTACATAGAAGTATAGTAACTTCATTTTTCTTACATGTCACCTGGTGAATGATCTTCCTTTGGGAATGAAGAAAATAAACCATCCTGTTCTCTTTTTCTGCAAGAATTGTAGTAGCAAAGCTTCTGCTCCTCAGTTTATGTCTCGATCATGACGGCTACATGCAATGCATTTAGCCTAGCACGAACACAGGGGTTCCAATGTACACGTGGCCCCGTTTTGCCTTTGCAAGTTCAGTCTGTGCTCCACCAGATGCTACCCAAGAGCTAGCAAGTGGAGCAATCCTTATGCTTTCCTTCCCACTATCCTCCTGGGCCAGAACAACTAAAAGTTTCCTTATTCTTCCAACCCTAGAGCAGTGAGGAGGTCAGAGCCACCAAGCCACTGCACATGGGATTTTTGCCTTTCCTTACAGCCCCGAGTATTAGTTATTGCTGCCACTAAAAACCAGTTCTCACTTCAGGGACGATCTAATTCAGGAATTGGTTCTCTGAGGCAAATCAATGCTGTTTGTTTAACTGTGACATAGCCCATTGGTGCAG